TAACTAACATGAAAACCACTCCAGTGCCAAAAAAGCCTGCATGAGGCAATTCATGTATCACTCACTGGTGGTCCTAAGCAGCTCTTAGGAAAAGCTGAATAAGCTTTTAACTCATGAGTGAATTTTATCTTCTAGGAATTAAGAACAATTTGTTGATAAAGAGTTAAATTAAAAAGAAAAAAAAAGAAGAAAAAGAAAAAGGCCTGAAAATCAGACTGGTGGTGGTCTTCTGTTTTGCTCCCTGTGATGACAAGCAAGTTTTAAATAATTTGTAAATAGTTAAAAGAAAATCATTACGTGGCTCACAGTATGTAAGACAAGGCCCAGCATGGAACAGATTTTTATAGCTTATTTATAAAATACGCTTCTGTCTTTTGTTTGGAATTGGAAAAGGAAACCATGTAAATTAAATAAGGAGTGAAGACTTACTTAACACATTTGTTGACTGAAACAAAAATATTTCCCCACCTCCTGAGGTATTTATGAGTAATCTGGGATGAATAACGTACGGAGATTCTGCCTTTTGAGCTCTAGTGCTGTAAAGCTGTTTAACATTTTTGCACAGCCAACAGTGGAGTGGTAACCAGAAGTCATGAAGAGCAGTTGCTAGGGCCACAGATTTGGATCCATTTGAAGAGGTACCAAAGAATGCACAAAAAGTCTGGGATTTATGGTGTGATACTTATTAAGCAGGTGTAGCAGACTGGGGAGGGAGGGGTGTTTGTAAATAAATGCAAAAAGTTTAAACTCTGATCCATGACCACCCTGTCACTGGGTGTCACATTAGTTTTGGCTGTGTGAGAAGCTTCAATAGTTTAAAAGAGGCCACTCATATTTTAACTGTTACATTAAAACCTTCAGCAAAGATTTCCACTCTGAGACATTTTCCATTGTTATCAAATGTACATATGTATTAATATTCAGTGTAACTAGAAGGATACAGAATTGTAATGAAGTCACAAAGTCTACTTGATGATCACAGATTTGTAACTCTCACAGATTATGTAAGATATGTTGACATTTTATCTTGTTAACAAGATGTATTTTTCTATGTTAATTACATGTATAATTTGTATAATTTTGTATATTAAATGTATGCATATTTTAAATTAAAAACATTATAATTTTCTTATTTTAACTTCAAAATGGTGACAGAGCTTCTGAAATACAGTTTTATATACAGCTGTATCCATGGATAGCAACCCAGGAAGTCTCAGTTTTGAGGAACCTGATCTTTTAACAGGGTAAGGAAATTGTTACACCCGAGCTCTTGCTCCTCTTGGTGAAGGAGCTTCCATTCAGCTTCTGCTGAGTTAGTGGCATTAATATGAGTTAGCAGAATACTATGGGCTGTATCACTGCTCATGAAGTGGGTAACCTGAGCCATCCCTGGCTCATAGCTGTGTTTTGGATTCCTGACAGTTCCTATATGTCAGGAATACAAATCACCAATCCATGGGATGGGGTTTTGTGGGGGGAGGAGGACACTGCTGGCAGGGATACAGCAGTCACACAGAGCACAGAGGGAGATTGACTCAGTGAGTTGGCAACTCCAGTCACTCCTCTGGAAGAAGGAGAACTCATGTCTCTCACATGCATTCCCTTTGGACTTTTTTGGTCTGGTGATTCTGTTGTAAAATGCACAATAGCAAAAAATATGTGCAAAATGTACATTGCACATTCTCTAAGGCCCTGCATCAGGGAAGTCCTGTTCTAGCTCATGATGTTCACACTGTTGGAAGAGCTCAGCCACAACTGAAGCCAAACAGGTATGTGACACCCTTCTTGTTGGGCTTTTGTCCTGCAAGACAGTGTTGTAGGTTTTGTTGTGTGAAGCAAGTATGTCCCTAGGTTTTCTGCTATCACTCATCTAGTCTATGTGGAATAAAGGTCCTATAGGAAGTGGGTGCACTTTCAGTCAAGTTCACTTCAGTTTTAATCAAGCAATGTCAAAACAGGATGAGATGCACTGTCTGAAAATGAATATACCAAAGTAATATATTTCTCCCAAAGTTGCATACTTGTTTTTAGGCAAACTCACAGGATGCCAGCATATCAGGATGCAATTGGGTCTGCTTCTGTAGCACCTAAAACTGCAATTTTGTCTCTTACTGAACAAAGGAACAGTATCTATCTGGTGACTGAGAACAGTTTTTTAATAAACTAAGGGATATGGTATGAATGATACCCCAAAACATTTAAAAGCAAAAACAGACTCTGATATTATTTTATGCTTATTTCTAACTAGAACGTTTAATGCTGTCTTCTGAAGCATCAATCTGACATGTTCTCTGAGTCTTGTGATCTCTTTATGTATCAGAATTAATATGAAATCTCCTGGCTTAATACTTAAAAAACAGCATTATTCTATTTTTTATTTAAAAAACCCTGAGTGCTCTGGAAACCTGAACAGTGCAACCTAACTAGATCCCAAGTGTAAACAGAGTCCATCTTTCTTAGCTTTATGGATGATAAATAAAAGATGCTCTTCATTTAGCAGATGTGTGCACTATGCAACATACTGGACCTACTATGGGATCTTCATAAGTTTTTATTCTGGAAATTCAAATTAATTTCTTGATTGCAAAGAAATAACTCATAAAATGAATATTTTTCCAATAATTGTAAAGACAGGTCACACATCACACTCCAGGTACCACCTGCATATTTCACTAACTGACAGGTTTTGATGTCATGTGGAGGAAAAAAATGACCTTTTTTTTTTCCCAACATGACCAATAAATCTCAATGTTACCATCAGGAACAAAAAAAATCAATATTTGCCCATACAAGAGAAGACTTTAAGGAAGCAACAAAGCAATGTCCTACAAGCTGTACTGACTTTTCTTCACTCACACCAGTGAAACCCCCCATATGATATTAAAGTGTTAATGTGGAAATACAGTTTATTAAGTGAATGGAATCCTGAACTGCGAAATCCTGGGCAGTATACGCTCAGAAATGTCAGTTGACTAAAATCAGCATGCTGATAACCAAAAAGAAACGAAAGTTTTGCTATCTTACTAACTCCCCTCATGTGAACAACACCCCTAGTGTTGAATGCACACACAGCATGTAAGACAGCAGGCCCCACTGGATTATAAATGCAGAAAAGAAAGATGTTTTCCTTGGATGTATTTTGGCATTGCTCAGGTATGTCACATCACTGCTTTTTCACATGGTTTGCGTCCAGGGGTAGTTGTTAATGAGAAAGATGTTTATCTGGACTAATTTCTGATTAAATCCCAGGGACCTCTCTCTTTAACCTCCCACTTTTCCTGATTTCCAGTTACTAATTTGCAATTTTTCTCGTACTGGGACCACCAGCACCAAAGACAACAGTGCAGTTTGATTTGGCTTGTATTCAAACAGCACATTGTACATGAGCAGTAAACAGGCCTTTGTGATTGATCCACTGCTTCAAATTTGCTTAGTCACATAATCAATCTCAGACCAGTTTGTTTAAATGTAATATTTCAGAGCAACAGAAAATGTCCCTTATGTAACTACTGGGTAGTCAAAGCCTGTGACAATTGCCAGAGATTGGCTGTATGTGCAGGAGAGGAGTGTCCAAGGACTTGTGAATTTGGTGGATGATCTCAGGCACCAAATCTCAGGATGATTGTAAGGCAGGGCTGCAAAATGGACCTTCTGAAGCGGGCTGTGCAGAGAGCTGAGGGGAGCACACTCTCTACTCCTTCTGCCCTTGGTTTTGGGAACTTTGATCCCTCACAGTGAAACGAAGCCCTCCCTGATTTCTGCCTTTCTGCCGATGCCGAGTCAGGCAGGCACCGTGCCGGCCCGGGAGCCTCCCGGGGTGCTGAAGGGACAGCTCCAGGGGGCGGGCCGCGCTCCGGCCGCTCCGAGGGGGATCAGCGGGGACACCCCGGCCCCCCGCCTTCCGCGGGGCTCGGCGGCCCGGCTCGGCGGACGCTCAGGGGCCGTGGGCCGCACACCCAGGCCCGCGGAGCCGGCGCCCCATGCCCGGTGACGGGTCCGGCGGCTCAGGCAGCGCTCGGCGCGATCACTTCCGTGTCAGGGCCGGCGCCCGCTGCCTGTAGCCCCCGCCTGTAGCCCTGGCCTGTAACCCCCTGCCCCCGCGGCGTGCGAAGGAGTCGCGCCCTGTCCCCGCCGCCGCAGCGGGGAAGCGGCAGCCGGGGCGGCGGGGCGGAGCAGAGCCGCCACCACCCCCGCGGGCACCTGCTGCTGCGGCAGGAGCAGCGCAGCCGCCCTGCCCGGGCTGGGGCTGCTTCTGCTTCCTCCCACACTCCGGTCACCCCTCGCTCCTCTCCCCGCCGCTCCCCCTGCGGCGCAGGCCGACCCCGAGCGACGCTGGCCCGTCCCCCGCCCGTACCGGGGGCTGCCGCGGCCGCGCCCCCCGCCCCGCCCGGGCACCGCCGCAGCCTCTCCCGCGGAGGGGGGCGGGGGCAATGTGAGTGAGCAAAGTGGGAGAAACTCCCTCCGGCTCGCCCGGGGGGGCTGGGGAGGTTCGGAGCTTTTCTCTTTTTTTTCTCTTTTCCTTTTCGCCTCCCTTTTATTCCAGCCCCGAAGCCACGCAGCAGCGGGTGACCGGCGCCCGCCCGCCCGCAGGGCAGGACCCCGTTGGCACCAGCCGTGTGTGCATGCGGCGGGCTCCCTCCTGCCTCCTCCCCCTGCCTCCCGCCCCCCGGATCATTCTATACCGGGGGAGCTGTGCACTGCGGTCCCTGCTCGGGGAATCGCTGCTGCTCTTCCCATTCGTCAGGGGCTTTCCAATCACCTGCCTCTGCCACCCTCTCCGCTCCGCTCTTTGTACTTTATTTTCACGTGCTCTTTACTAACACAGCTATTTTTAAATCCCACTTGGATTTATTTCTCTCTCTTTATTTCTTTCTCTCTTATTTTTCTTTTTTTCCCTTTTTCTCTCTCTCTCTTTTTTTTTTCTTTTTTTTTCTTTTTTTTTTTTTTTAACCGTCGGGGTGAGTGGGGGGAGGGAGGTTAACGTTTGCAGTTCCCTAACGGAAAGATCCCACCAGCCAACCCAGCACCGCCACTGCTGCATGCATCCGCTCATTTTTATGGTCACTAACAGCCTATCCCGGTAGTGGAAGGTGGAGAGAAGTGGGAGGCAGGGAGAGAGATAGAGAGAGATTCGGACAGCGAGAATGGCCGAGAGAAAGAGGAACTGGAATAAAGAAGATGACCTGCCTGTGTATCTAGCTAGGCCGGGCACGACAGCCCAGACACCGCGACAGAAATACGGGGGAATGTTCGCCTCCGTGGAGGGGGCCTATGAGAACAAAACCATCGACTTCGACGCCTACAGCGTGGGGAAGAAGGGGTCCCGGACTCCGCGGAGCGGCAGCCGGCACGACATGCTGGACGGAGGGGACAACTACAGCGAGACCGCCAGCGACATCAGCGAGATCTCCGGCTCCGTCATCAGCTCCCCGGGAGACCGGGAGGACAAGACCCCGGGCGTGGAGATCAAATACCCCATGGGAAAGGAGCTGCTGCAGGGCCAGGACAATGGACAGGTGAGCGGGGCCCGGGCAGGGGGGGAGGGAGCCGCCGCCCCCGCTCGCTGGGCGAGCCGTGCCGAGATTGCTGTACCGAGCCGAGCCGAGCCGTGCCGTGCCGAGATTGCTGTACCGAGCCGAGCCGAGCCGTGCCGTGCCGTGATTGTTGTACCGAGCCGAGCCGAGCCGTGCCGTGCCGTGATTGTTGTACCGAGCCGAGCCGAGCCGTGCCGCAGAGCCCCGCTCGCCCGCGCAGGGGGCTGGGGGCCGCCTTCGCGGGGAGTTTCGGCACGGCAGGTCGGGGAAGCGCGGCCCCCTCCTCCCGGTCACGCTGATGCTGTGGGAAGAGCCCGGCTGGCCCCTAAACTACCTCACTTGGCAGAGCTTAGCGGGGGCGGGAGGGGGCGACCCCAGAAATCGTCTTTCTTTGTAAGTGATGGCGATGAGTTTTCTCCGTTTCCTTTCCTGCCCGTGCCGGGGGGCTGGAGGGCAGCTCGGGTCCCTCAGCGCCTCCCGGCCGCCCCCCGGAACAAAGCCGGGCCCGCTGCACTCCCGAGCTCGCCGGGGAAACTCCGCGGAGCCTGTCCCAGGCACAGTCCCAGGATCTGCCCCGACCCCCCGCCCTGACTCAGACCCTGCTCCCCCCGGCTCCCTCTGCGCCTGCATTGTCTCCCCGGCAGGGAGCGCGGAAGGCGGGAGGATGGGCCGAAACATCTGCCCCGGGTTCCCCTTCCCTGGATCTGCAGCCTGGACTCTGATGTAGGCTCAAGGAAGAAGTGAGCCGGTGGGCTGGCCGGCCCCTGATGGCTGTGTATCTCCATCTTAGCCCTGCCGGTGGCATGCAGACTGGAGGCAGACCCGGGTGGCTGGCTGTCGTGGGATCCCGGGCTCTCATTGATTTCCCCTTAGGAAAAATGCGGCCTTGCAGTGATGTCTCTGCATGGATACACCCTCTTCCTTAATACCCAGCCTGGAGTCTCTGTGGCTTGTCTGCACTCTGCTTTATCCCTAGGCTGAACTGGGAGTTTCCATGCTCTTCACCCCTCTTCAATTTGAGCATGAATGGGGTGCTGGTTTGCTCTGGCCTGGGGGTTGTGTGCAGGTGCCACATGGCCTCCTGTGCAGCCCAGGGGGTGTCTGCTGTGCTGGGACAATGGAGCAAGCAGGCAGGGCTTGGTGGGACACTGTGCCTGGGATGATGCTGCTTTCTCTGCAATGGCCCCGGGGTTGCATTCAGAGGCTGCCAGCTGCAGTGCAGTCTTCTCTTTTCTAGCTCACCTGAACTCCTCACCTGAATCTCAGGGGCAGTGGGAGGGCACAGCACACCCCATCTTCTAGCACATCCATGGTGCTGCCTTCCCCATTTTCCCTGCCTCCTAGTTCAGCCTGGGACTCACTGTACACACTGCACACTATTTCTCTGGATCCCGCTGTGTTTGCAAAGTTGGCCAAAGTGAGGTGAGGATGAGGTTGAGGTAAAGCAGGAAAGATTTGGCCACTGGCTTAGGAAGGTGCACTTTAAGCAGCAGATAGATGTGACCCCTGTGCAGTAGCATCCAGAGTTTTTTACAAGCTTCAAACAATGATTTCTGGGAAGATGTGTCAGGGATGTGGCCTGGGTGCTTAATGTCTTGTATCTATGTATGTATCACAGGGCTGGGTGTGCTAAGAGCCCCAGAGTGTGTGTCCTTGGGGAGATTAACTTGGGCACAGCTTTGCTGTGCCTTTTGTCCTCAAGCACCATGGCTAGAGGGAGGTATTCTGTGAGACAGAGACGGGTTTCAACTATCCACTTTACCTCTCCAGCAGCTGCTGATATAGCAGCTACCTGGCCTGGCCTGGTTATGTCATCCCTCATGACCATGGGCACAGGACAGAGCAGGTGTGTGACAATGGGGCAGTGACAAGGACGGCAGAGCATGGCAGTGCTGTTTGGGTCAGAGATGTTGGTGAGGAACAGAGCAGGTCGGTGTCATCAGGGACAGAGCAGGCAGTGCCATCAGGGTCAGTGCTGTGGGGACAGAGCCATGGGGACAGCGCAGAGCACTGCCATCAAGCTTCATGCCATGGGGATGGTACCACAGTGCCATTGCCATGTGCAGCACAGCAGAACCCACCGCCGGGGGTTATATCCCCCGTCCCCACCCTGCGGCAACCCACGCGTGGGATCCCGCCGGTGACCTCAGCGTGCGAGCGGGGCGGCGGCGGAGCTGGCGGGGCGGCGTTTCCCAGCGCTGGTGCGGCAGGGAGGGAGGCTCCGGCTGGATTGATGGGATGTGAAGGGGGGCCAGGCGGAGGGGTGGGGGACAGGAGGGAAGGAAACGCTTCCTGGGTTGCGCTGAGCGAATCCTGCTCCGACCTGCAGCCGGGAGGGCGCTGCTGCCGCCGGCACAGGCAGCGCTCGCCGACCCCCCCGGGAGCCGCGTCCCTGTTTGATTGCAGCCGGAAAAAAAAAAAAAAAAGGTGCCGGGTTCGCCGGGCTCCCCTTCCTCTGGGCGTCGGAACTTCGCCCCCATTCCACCGCTCTGCCGGGTCGCCCCCGCCCCGCCCCATCACCCGACCGGGCTTCGCATTATTATTCGTCTCAGCACCGCCGGTGTTGTTCCGCCGGGCTCGGCTCGCTCCTCGGGTTCGTTGCGTGCTCCCGGCGCTAGGGAGAGCCGACATGTCTTACCAGGGCAAGAAGAGCATCCCCCACATAACGGTAAGCGGCCCCGGGCGCTCCTTTGTTCGCGGGGCGGGGAAGGGCGTGCGGCGGGAGCGCAGTGCCCGGGGCCGCGGGCAGCCCCCGGGCTGCGGGGCTGGGGCTCCCCGGAGCGGCGGGCTGCGGGCGCCGCCGCCCGTCCTCCTCCTCTCGCTGGAGCGCTGGGCGAGGACTGATTTCATTTGATTTAATTTTAAAATTTCATTGTTATATTTTTATTTTTATTGTATTCTGTCTCCCCTTGCTCGCCCGCCACCCGGCCGGGGCTCAGCGCTGTGTACTCGCTCCAGCCCGGTGCGGGGAAGGGAGGGAGGGCCGGCGGGGGGCTCGTCCCGGCGCTGTCGGGGCCGGGGGTACCGCCCTCCCGAGAAGCCGGACCCGGGGAGGCTCGGCCGCCGGGCTCGGCAGAACAAAAGAGGGAGGGGACCACCGCAGCACAACGTGCCCCTGCCACCGCCCCCCGCAGCGGGCAGGGGCAGCGCAGCCTCTGCGGGGCAGGGGCGGTGGGCCGGGGGGAGACACAGGGTGCGGAGAAATGGGAGGTGGGCGAGCGTGGGCGTGGGGGGAAACGTGGAAAATCAAAGAGCGCCATGATGCCAGCACCAACACCTCTGAGCGCTATTAATACATCAGGCGTGGTGGAAATCAGAAGTCGAAGAGTTAATCATAACCATTCTCTTCCTATCGGTGTCCGTCTCCCGCTAGATGCTTTTGTACCCGAGAAGAGCTACAATAGGGTGTGCTTTCCACACAAGCCAGAAAGAAAAGACCTGGGTCCTTTCATACAGTATATGCTTTCCCTTAATACACACGATCTGGGGGTATAGGGGCTGGGATAAAGAACAGGCAGGGCTGGCGGATAGGGGTGTGGTGGGGGAAATCGCACCCGGAGCTTGCTCACACGGCAGAGCTTTTCCCCAGTACCGGTGTTGGTCTCCAGGTTCTTGCTTTCCTCTTGGGGGACTGGATCAGTGGATGATGGGGTCACTGCTGCTGTGGCACCTGGGGCAGAGATGAGCAGGGAAGGGGGGTGAACTTCAAGATTTCTTGGGTTCGTGGAGCTTTTCCTGGAAAGCTGTCACGGTGTGGTGCAGAGCAAGTTTCGGTAGCTGAAGGAGCGCGCTGCGTGTGGGTGTGGCACCTTCCTGAGCAAACCCGGTGCTTAACGGCATTAGTGGAGCCCGTGTTACAAAGCTTGTAAAAATGTACAATAAAAGCGTCCTTCAGTCAAAATATTTGATCAGGAGGAGAAAAACCTCCTTTTAAAAGCTGAGTTTTATGATACCAAAGTGCTGCATTTATGCAGGTTTCCACAATCAACAGGCAGCAGTGCCTGCTGGCCAAGGCTGAACCTGGGTTGCTGCAGTGGCTTTTGGGTGATGGCTCCTCTTGTCTCGTTCCTCAATGCGATGAGTACAGTTATTCAGGGCATGTCGGGGTTGGGGAGACCCCGGTTACCCTCTGGGTGAGTGTCAGGTGCTTTGTGCATGGCTCAATCTTCATTTGAAGCTGGAGTGTAACAGGGTCCCACCCATAGCTAGTTCTTTGCTCTCCAGTTTGGAGTAGAATGAGAAACTGGAAGAATTATGAGTCTTTGCCTTAGAATCAACAGTTCCTTTTAATTTCACCACTTCTCACAGAATTTCTTCTCTGTGCTGGGGAGAGGATTACTGTGAAAAAGAAAGCCCAAACCTCATCCTTTTCTCTTTAAACTGGGATGTACTGAAGCTTCTATAAATGAATATTCATTAACATTACTGTTGAGTTTTGTGACCAAATCAAAGGCGTAAATTAACATTAGTGAAGTTGGCAGGCATCAGGCCTGATCTGTTTTTGATTTTTATTTTTTTTTTTTACACTTCTGGCCCTTCTCCTCCAGCAAAAGAAAATCAGGCACTTTGTGTCAGACCTTGTACATGCTGCTTGTTGCACAAGAACCCACAGGATCCGTATGTGGGTGTGTATCTTCTGACACCCCATTCCAGTGTGGTAAATTAGATGTTTCATCTGGCCCTAAGGAAATACATTGTAGCTTCAACTCATCTGGGCTCTAAGGAAATGTGATAGCTCTTTTGAAGTATGCAACAACAGTGATGATGAAATAATATAAAAATGAAATTTGTTACTGTTAACATTTTGCTCCACTCACACTCCTGCTTTTTGGAGCTACACCAGCTCCTGAGTTCATTGGGGAAGTGAGAAACCAATTTCATACAGTGTCCTGGGTGCTGATACTTCTCTGTGGATTTTCCAGTACTAAGCCTGTGTTCCTTCCAAGGGGCCAGGAGCTGTCCTGAGCACACAAGAACACCCA